TTGGAAGACACAAACTTGACTATGAAATCATACGGTCTCTCTCAAAAGTTTTGGAGGACACAAACTAGACCATGTAATAAATATATTAAAACATCATTTATGTACTTCGTTTATACATTTTTTTGCCTTTGATTTTGTGGGATTTGAGTTTTTGTTCTTGGTGTGAAGAAAGCATTTTACGTTTCTGTCATACAGCCACAGCCATAGCCACAGCCCACAGAAACAGCCGTGCATCTATGTGAATGATGAGTCCCTTTTTCCTTTTTTTTTTTTCCTTTTTTATTCTTGTTTTGTGTTTGGTTTTCTCAAGATTTACGTATCTATTTTGCTAATGCATTTGTTCCAGAAAATGGGTTTAACTTGTTTACTGGGATTATATCTTCTTTTACATATAGTTTTTTTTTTCATTGAATTTTCAAATTCTCCCATGAAAATTATTCTGAGCCTTTCATTGACTCATTATTCACGCTTCTTACTTTTCCAATTATTTTTTATTGGGTTCATTTTTCAAGAGACAGAACGAGGAGGAAATTTTTTATGATCATGCCTTTTCAAGATTTCTCTCCTTGAGGTTTGTGAATAGTTTTTTCCCCCTTTCTGCAAGTATACTCAAAGATATACATTTTGAACCCATTTATGTAATTTAACTTAAAGGCAATTTAAGTAAATAAAAAGAGGGTGCCACTACTTACTTTCACAGTTTTTATATATTCATCATACTTTATATTCATCGAAATTAAAATTTTAAAAATTAAAATTTTCATTCACGTCAAATTTCAATATTATCCTTATTAAATTTATTTATTTGAATATTATATCCACACAAATTTTATATATTCGTCTCACTCTAATTATATCTCTAATCAATTTTAAAATTCACTATATTCATTCAATCGCTATCAACATCTAATCCGATTCTTACTTTTCCTTTTCTATATTGTCATGTCGGTGTTTTAATGTTTAGTTGCAAATGTTAGCGAATCTCTTTTCTTGAATTTATTGGATTTTCTAAAGAGTACACTGCTCACGTAACCAAACAAATTCCTCCTTGAATCATATGTTAATTAAATTATTTTTTACCTTCTAAGCTAATAATTTTGGTTGTTTGTATTTTTGTTGGAAATTTTAAGTTTGTTTCTTTTTGTAATGTAAGAATATTTGGACAAGTATTGAAACTTATTTTAAAATTTCTCGCATACTTTTATCTGTCAAGCCAATACTTAAAAGAAAGCATAAAAAATAAGATTCCATTTTCCTTATTATGAAAGAATTATAACTAAAATAATGCGTTGAAGACGATATTTTATTATTATTAGGGTTGTATGATTTTAGTTAAAGATGATATTTTATGATTATTAGAATTCTAGTTAAAAACAAAATTTAAAAGAATATAAAAATGTTCAAAAGAATTTATGAAAATAAATATTAATGGATAAATTTAGAACGATATATTTTTATTTAATTTTATATATGCATATTTAAGTAAATTTATATAAGATTAAAAATATAATATAATAACCTTTTTAAAAGTTGATATATATATATATATTTATTTATTGTGGACATAAAATAGTGGTATCCTAAAAAAATTACTTAATTGTAATTAAATAAAAAATAAAATAAAATAACTCATCTTCTTCCCTATCATACCCCTCTACGCCACCTACAAAACCAAACCCACAGTAAAGCAGCTGCCAGCTTGCCACCGACAGCCACAATCCTTCAACGCATTTGGAAAAGCCCCTACAATGCACTACTTCAATCCTTACTTATTTTTATATCGCAAGTGTACGATATTGAACAAGTAATATAGTGGACCTAAGAGTCCGGATTATCGTTCCCACGAGAACTAAATTTTAGTGCATAATATATTTCTCCTACTACTATTTGA